ATGATGGGCAGATGAATGGGTGGATGGATGCATGGATGAGATGGATGGGTGAACAGATGGTACATGATGGGCAGATGAATGGGTGGATGGATGCATGGATGAGATGGATGGGTGAACAGATGGTAGATGATGGGCAGATAGATGAATGGATGGATAGTTGGATGCATGGATGAGATGGATGGATAGACGAACAGATGGTAGATGGGCAGATGGATGGATGGATGCATGCATGGATGAGATGGATGGATAGATGAATAGATGGTAGATGATGGGTAGGTAGATGGATGGATGGATGCATGCATGGATGAGATGGATGGATAGATGAATAGATGGTAGATGGGCAGATAGATGAATGGATGGATAGATGGATGCATGGATGAGATGGATGGATAGATGAATAGATGGTAGATGATGGGCAGATAGGTGAATGGATGGATAGATGGATGCATGGATGAGATGGATGGATAGATGAATAGATGGTAGATGATGGGCAGATAGATGAATGGATGGATAGATGGATGCATGGATGAGATGGATGGATAGATGAATAGATGGTAGATGATCGGTAGGTAGATGAATGGATGGATAGATAATAAATGATAGACAGATGACAGATAGCTGACGGATCACTGTTAGAAGTCCAGGTGCAGTGGCTCACGCCTGTAATCCCAGCACTTTGGGAGGCTGAGGTGGGAGGATGATTTGAGCCCAGGAATTTCAAACCAACTCGAGCAACATAGTGAGATCTGGTCTCTATTTTATTTTATTTTTTAAAAAGGATTTTTTTTTTTTAAAGGATGATGATAGAAGTATAAAAAGAGAGGCAGGGTGAGGAGAGGGAGGAAGAGACAGAAGACAGATAAGGAAGGAAGGGGGAAAGGAGGAGAGAGGAGAAACAGACTGATGATAGATGAGATACATAAAAAGTCACAGAGAGGAGGAGACAGAGAGGAAGAGGGAGAGAAAGAGAGACAGAGAGAGGCCGGGTGCAGTGGCTCGAGCGTCTTTTAACCCCAGCATTTGGGGAGGCCAAGGCAGGAGGATCGCTTGAGCCCAGGAGTTTGGGAGTAGCCTGGGCAACATAGCAAGATCCCATCTCTACAAAAAAAAATTTTTAAAAACTAGCAGGGCATGGTAATATATGCCTGTACTCCCACGTACTGGGGAGGCTGAGGAGGGAAGATTGCTTGAGCTCAGGCGGTCAAGGCTGCAGTGAACTATGATGACACCATTGCCCTTCAGCCTGGGTGACAGAGGGAGACTCCCATCTCCACAGAAAACTTTTTGGTTATTTTTTTTTGAGACTCTCGCTCTGTCATCCAGGCTGGAGTGCAGTGGCGTGATCTCGGCTGACTGCAACCTCCACCTTCCGGGTTCAAGCGATTCTCCTGCCTCAGCCTCCTGAGTAGCTGGGAGTATAGGCGCCTGCCACCATGCCTAGCTAAGTTTTGTGTTTTTAGTAGAGATGGGGTTTCACCCTATTGCTCAGGCTGGTCTCGAACTCCTGACCTCGTAGCCTGCCGGCTTCGGCCTCCCAAGGTGCTGGGATGACAGGCGTGAGCCATGGCGCCCGGCCTCACAAAAAAAAACTTTTTAAAAAAATTAGCTGGGGCCGGGCGCGGTGGCTCAAGCCTGTAATCCCAGCACTTTGGGAGGCCGAGATGGGCGGATCACGAGGTCAGGAGATCGAGACCATCCTGGCTAACACGGTGAAACCCCGTCTCTACTAAAAATACAAAAATTAGCCAGGTGTGGTGGCAGGTGCCTGTAATCCCAGCTACTCGGGAGGCTGAGGCAGGAGGGTTACTGGAACCCGGGAGGCGGAGCTTGCAGTGAGCTGAGATCCGGCCACTGCACTGCAGCCTGGGTGACAGAGCGAGACTCCGTCTCAAAAAAAAAAAAGATAGATACACAGAGAAAGACAGGGAGAAAGAGGGAGAGGGAGAGAGAAAAGGATGGAAGTCTCTTGACCAGCTGAACCTATGGGGAGTCCTGTTTCACAGCGCAGGTGGCAGCCTCCTCCACCGCCCCCCCCCACCCCCGCCCAGCTCTGTAAGGTAATTAAGTGTTCTCTGCAAATATTCTAGGAATTCTCACTGCAGCAGCAACCTTGAACTCTGAGGGAGCCTGAGCGCCCACCAGATTCCCTCAGGGCCATGTCCTTCCATTGTGGAAATCCAATATCCCAGGAGCAGCCTGGGGGTACAGGAGAAACCTGATATGAAGGCTTTGAGCCGAGAGGGTGCATGCTGTGTGTGTGTGTGTATGTGTGTGTGCACCTGTGCCTGTGTATAAACACACAGGTTCGATCCAGCTGAGCCTTGAGCAACACGGCTCTAAACTGCCCTCACTCATGGATTTCCCTCTGCCTCGGCCACCCCTGGGACAGCAAGAGCAGCCCACGGCTTCCTCCTCCTCTGTAGCCTCCTCAGTGTGAAGACAACAAGAATGAAGACCTTTAGGATGAGCCACTTCAACTTCATAATGGTAAATATATTTTCTCTTTAGGATTTTCTTTTTTTTTTTTTTTTGAGATGGAGTCTCGCTCTGTTGCCCAGGCTGGAGTGCAGTGGTGCAGTCTCAGCTCACTGCAACCTCCGTCTCCAGGTTCCAGCGATTCTCCTGCCTCAGCCTCCCGAGTAGCTGGGATTACAGGCACCTGCCACCACACCTGGCTAATTTTTGTATTTTTAGTAGAGACGGGGTTTCACCATGTTGGCCAGGCTGGCCTCAAATCCGTGACCTCAGGTGATCTGCCCACCTTGGCCTCCCTAAGTGCGGGCATGATAGGTGTCAGTCACTGCACCTGACCACATTGGCCAACTTTAAATACAGCGGATTTATCCTCCACAATGTCGCAGGCCTCTCACCCAGACGCTGGACTTGCCAACCTCCAAAAATCACATAAGCCAGTTCTTTTTTTGCTGTTCTTTTTTTGATACAGAATCTCACTCTGTCACCCAGGCTGGAGTGTAGTGGCGCCATCTTGGCTCACTGCAATCTCCACCTCCTGGGTTCAAGCGATTCTCCTGCCTCAGCCTCCTAAGGACCCGGGATTACAGGCACCTGCCACCACGCCTGGCTAAGTTTTGTATTTTTAGTAGAGACGGGGTTTCACTATGTTGGCCAGGCGGGTCTCGAACTCCTGACCTCAAGTGATCCGCCTGCCTCAGCCTCCCAAAGTGCTGGCTAATTTTTGTTTTTGTTTTTGTTTTTGTTTTTTTTTGAGACGGAGTCTGCTGTCTCACCCAGGCTGGAGTGCAGTGGCCGGATCTCAGCTCACTGCAAGCTCCACCTCCCGGGTTTACGCCATTCTCCTGCGTCTGCGTCAGCCTCGCGAGTAGCTGGGACTACAGGCGCCGCCACCTCGCCCGGCTAGTTTTTTGTATTTTTTAGTAGAGACGGGGTTTCACCGTGTTGGCCAGGCGGGTCTTGAAATTCTGACCTCAGGTGATCCACCTGCCTCAGCCTCCCAAAGCGCTGGGATGACAGGTGTGAGCCACCGCGCCCGGCCTCCTTGTAAAACTTGAACCGAAAACTACGTCTTCACAAAAAAAGTGAACGTGACGACGGGCTCTCACCTGGCTTGCAGCTCTCGGCGACCTTGCTGAGTAACTTGTGGACTTTGTCGTCTGACCAGTCGTGCAGGATCCGGCACAGGACATACAGCTCAGCGCTGGGGAGGGGGTCCCTGAAAAAATCACCTGGTTTAAAGACAAAAGGCGACAGGTCCGTCAGGTATGGGAGAAGCAGTTCCTCCCCGGACAGATCCTCGGACGGCCACCCACATCCTAAATCAGGGATGGAGAAGAGAGGGGTGTGGGCAGGAGTGAGTATATCCCCATGGGGACTTGAACAGAGGAGCTGGTTAGCGATGCCACGGGCGTGCGGTTAGACTCCGGCCGAGAAAAGACCGGGCACGGCGGCTCACACCTGGAATCTCAGCAGTTTCGGAGCCTGAGGTAGGCAGATTGAGCTCAGCAGTTCGAGACCAGCCTGAGCAGCATGGCGAAGCCGTAGCTCTACTAAAAATACAAATTAGCTGGACGGGGGTAGTGGGCGCCTGTAATCCCAGCTACTCGGGAGGCTGAGGCAGGAGAATCGCT